TTTTTTTTTTTTTTATTATCGTATCAAACGCGTAAATTAAAACCATGACAGAGCTGCGGAAAAAATGGAAATTTTTCGAACTCCCACCGTTCTTCTGGGAAGAATAGAATTTTCTTCCGAATTATGCTTTGCAACAATTAATTTGTCTTATTAACAAAACGGCAATTATAACACACTCTCGAGAGATAATCTGAAACGTTACGACGAGCCCGGGAATTTCTTAATTAAACGAATCATTGTAAACTTATGCGCGCGCGCTCGTTAAACGATCCACGAGAGTTGAGGGCGTATGTCTATGAAATACGTTCTCGCGAGTAACCCAACGGCGCGGGCGCCCAAGTAATCGGAAAATACGCGCGTCCCGGGGCTTTATTAACTTTCTATTAAATTAGGAAATTAGAAACTTTCGGCCACGGGGCGCAGCAGCGCGCTCGCTAACGACGTTAGAGAGAAACAGACGGAGAGAGAGAGAGAGAGAGTGTGTGTGTGTGTGTGTACGGAGGTGTATTGTGCATACACGCGGTTACACACACATATACAAACATGATTTTAACGTGTTATCGATACATAATTCTAGAAACCAACATCTTTCCCCGTGTCGTAGAAAGTAGTCTGGCACGAGAAAACCCAAAGAGAAAAGAAACGAATCGGCAGCGCGCGCGAGGAAAGGCAATGAGAGTCGCGCACGTTAAATCGACGATACCATCACCGGGCATTATCCGCCATTTCCAGCGTGCCTATTACGCGGAGATGATTATATTCCAGGCGTGTGTGGCGCGCGCGCGCGCGAATCGGTCGATCGGGGAGAATAAGTGGACGGTGTGCGCGACCGTTCGCGTTATGCGCAATGCATCGCGCGCTCCACTCGTGGAAAAGTTGGTCGTCGCGCGCACGCAATCTCGTAGATTGTGCAAAGTTGTCTGCTCGTATCGGGAAATCGAGGACTGCATTCGAAAGGAAGACCCGAAATCTTAGCGGGATAACGACGAAAAGGCCACGCATGCATCTTGAAAGATTCTGGATGCTACGTGAAAAGCTCTCCGAGAAGGAGCTCTCTTCTTCTCTTTCTCTTTCTTTTTTTCTCTCTCTCTCTCTCTCTCTCTCTCTCGGTCTCGGCGTCTTTGCTATTCATAGGCAGAGAAAGGAGCCGCGTCGCGTCTCGACCGTAACCGCGCGAGAGTCGTGCGACGACAAGTTTCAGCGAGAGAACCGACGACCGATGATGCATTGACGGATGTTACGACGAGAGAAGTGCGGTTAAGCCAGCTTTACGTCGCGAGATCGAGTGTCGCGATATTCACGGAAAATTGCATCTGCTACCGATGCCGTTTTATAAATAACATACCGCTCGTGCGGCGGAGAGACGAATTGGAAATATATCGTAAATTGTAACGTATATTGCCTAGGCCTATCTTATTAAGGCGTATCTTATTCAAAAAATTATTACTAAGTTTATCATCAAATTATTGTGTAATACACGTCGTTTTTTCGTTTGAAGCAAAATTGTGTTCAATTATCGAGAGAAATCGAGAAAATTAATCTACTTAAGCAAAAAGACAAAGAAAAATAATTCCGACTATAGTGAGTGTTGCATTATATTCGTTTACTTTTAATCTCGCGAATAAAGATCAAAATTAAGATATCAGCGGGCGAACAACCGGGCGGCGCGCGGCGATATTGCTGACAAATCTCTCGAGCGGTACGGCAAGAGAACTCTCTCGCCAGAGATCGAGCCGTTCTTATCTTTCTCAGACTGCCGCACAGTCGAGAGAGGCCTTCCATTTTCAGCTCTAAGTGGAGGGAACATTGTCTCTCGAGTAGACACACGTGCGAAAGCAGTGTGCGCGCCTCGGAGAAACGTTCGTAAGAGAACCAGTTCGGGCCGTAACGTATGTATGTACGTGGCGAAGTGGCCGTGGTCTCGCTTTTTAGTGGTCGTTACTATTGGAGACACTTTTCCGTAAAAGAGTTTACTGCTACTCGTCTCTAAAACGCCTCAGCCTCGGATGTATCGGTCTGAGAAAGATCTTCTTTTTCCTCCCTTTACGATCCGCCGACGGTAAATACGTACCGTAAGTAGCATAAGTGTGTCAACCTCCGCCGTTCGCGACATCTTCGCGAGATGAGAAAGAAAGAGCTAAAGGCGGTTTGTTCTGTTAGTCGCGAAACGAACAAACTTGTCTCTCCTCAGAGACCTCAAATGAGTCACCTTTCCGCCGGCATTCGTGTAGAAGGACAGAACAGAAGGATTGCCAGAAATAAGGTCAACCACACAATAAACGCGACTGAGCGATAAACAAAGAACGCTCGCAATGCGAGAGCGATGTGTGTAAAAGTCCAACGGGAGGCGGATTTAATTTACTGCGCGCGAAAATAAAAGATACCGCGCGCGAGCGCGCGTGCGCGATAAAACAACGAAATGAAATAAACTCTCGAAGTAAAACTTGCAAAAGAGAGAGATATAATAAACACCAGCACACGCTGCCGCGGCTTGACACGAAATTGGAAATAATTCCTCGAAACTGAAGGAAGCCTCTTGCTTCTCTCATCGCGCATATCACGCGCTCTCTCCTCTCTCTCTCTCTATTATATATTATATTTTTATAAAATATCTTCTCTTTCACACACACACACACACACACACACATTTGAGTATAAAAACTAGTTAAAAACTCTGTTTTGCAACATTATCTAGAATAAAAAACTGTTTTTTTGTTTTTTTTTATATTCCCGGGTTTGAAAATAAAAATGTTTTCACATGTACAAACGGACGTGAGAGATTAGCAAATTAATTAAATCTATCAGCCGCGTGATTAAAAGCGTCGAAAATAGAGTAAGAATAAAAAGAATAAATTCATCATCCGCTTTCGTAAATTTTCGCTGTAAGCGCCATCGCCCTTTCGTGTTAACCGAACTTACACCCGAGCCGTCGCCTGAGGATAACATCGAGCTCGCGTGTCACTGTTTATTTGGGTTAGAAGTTCTATTTTCGCTATACGGGGTCTACCGCCGACACGAAACGAGAACACACAATGGCCGGGCTCTTTTTCGCCCGTCCGTTAAATGAATCGCTTAAGACAGGAAGGTGAGAGAGAAACGTCTGAGAATGGAACGTTTGGTTCACAGAAAAAGAATGAATGTCAATCACGTTCGATAACATCGGTACGCGCAACGTGTGTGTGTGTGTGTGTGTGCGTAGATTGACTCGAACGGTTTCCACACGACCAGATGTGGAACTACAGTTAGTCGCAGGATGATAAACAATTTTTAAACCCGCGCGAGTCAGGTCATTTCAATTATCTTTATTTTATCTGAACATACAAGGTATCCGTCCCAATTATCAAACATGTATCCACTGACCGGATATTTAAAAAAAAAATTATTTATTAAAGAAATAAATTTATTTAAAACATAATTATATAACAAAATATTTACGTGCATATAACTATATAGCCGCAGACTAATATTTATCTTGATGAAAAAAATATCTTTGAAAATATTTGAAAAGATGAGAATTCACATGTTTAATATTTACATATTTAATAATTATTTCTTTGATAAATATGCGTTTGACCATTGATCCGGTTACTTTGGGACGATTAAAACATTCCGCCGTAATATATTGATCAAAATAATATCTTTTACGCGCGTGCTGTGTGTTTGCTTCGTTCATTGGCCTCGTCTCCGCGCGTTCCGTGACAATTCATTCACACATAACTTACGTAATAATTCGCACAACGATAAGTAACACGCTGTGTGAAATCTATTACATATATATATGCAAGAGAGATAGAGTTACTGAATAATTTTTCGGACAGGTGTATCAATCGCAAAAGAGGTGCGTCCGCGACAGATTAATCGAATATCGACCGCTAATGGGGCGCTGCGTGATAGAATTCTGTGGATCCTCTCGCTAAAAGCTGCACTTAAACTAAATACATTTCCCAGTTCGGTTTTTTGCGAGTCCTCTCTCTCTCTCTCTCTCTCTCTCTTTCTCTCTCCGATCGAGCCTGGGAGAAGTCGACGACCTATGTGCGGGGGCAGCGCTTCCGGTCACGTTGACAAACGTCGCCGGCATCTAAATATTTCTCTATATACGCGGGACCGAGAACAACGAGAAAGAACCGGGAGATGGACGCGGGGGGAGAAACGCGCACGGATGTAATGGAAGAAAAAGAAGCGAGGATATATCCGCGGGATGTGAGAGCGAAGAAGGGAACAACACAGAGAAGAGAACCGACATTCTGGTCTACATGCGACGACCGGCCGGGGAAAATAAGCCGGACGGAATCCCTTGCGGCGATATCGTGTTCGAGCGGGATATATTCAAGAGCGCGGGCGAAAGGAATCACGGGAAGACGCAAGCGGGCTTGAAATCTGCATGAGCTTTCGAGCCGATAACACTCGTATATCCGGGAGAGTAAGAGGGATCGGAAAAACAATTGGAGACGAGAGATACTTTACATGGCACTACCGCGTGATGCCGTTCACGGTATTGCC